CAAAAAAAGGCAAAAGACAGTCCCTGCCCTCAAAGAGTTTATAATCTTATGGGGAGAAAAACTGCAAATATAAACAATGCAGGCTATGTACAGGATAAATAGGAAATAATTAACAGAGGAAAGGCACTCGAATTAAGAGGGGTTGGGGAAAGCTTCCTGTAGATAAATCACTCAGAGTGACAGCAAATAAACCTAATATTTTTCTTCCACTAACTCCTATCTGTTCATTACTCAGACAGTGCTCTACTCTGTTATAGATGAAGCTAGCTGATTTCTAATTAACTGATGTTTTTGGCCAGTCCTGTGATTTCATTAGTATAGCAAACTCTTGATGAGGAAATCCTCTTTATCAATGTAGATCAGTGACCACTCAGCAACTTAGAATTTAGAGTTGAGCACAGAGATTTAAGTGACTTAGCCAAGATTAGACAGTAAGCATGCATCAGAAGTAAACCTTGAACTCAGGACTTGTGAGTAATGGAGGCAAGGTCCCTTTTCAAGAGTCGTCTTTGGAATCCAAATACAATATAAAATGGAGCCATCGGACTAGGGAGGCCAATCACCTACCTTCTCTAGAAATTAGAGAGAAGTTGGCCTTAGTGACTGACTATGGAATACAGGTCCAAGATTCTCATAGAGTGCACATGGCTTCAGAATTTCTCCACTGGGCCCAGTCCTATGTTGCTACTAATGAATTAGTGCCCAGAATATCTTTATCCTAACAAATCTACAACTTACTACTGACTTAGCTACAATTTTTTCTGTGCCCCTTTGTTCCTGGAGACCATTTCTGTGTCATGTAAGACAATATTTATGTTGTGACTTTGTCACCAAAAGGATATAATGGGAGCATACATAATTCACCTATAATTCCCAGATGTTATATTTTGAATGTGGTGGGAGCTTTGGGGTTTTCTTTGGGGGAGAGCTATTTAAATGAAAAGTCTGATACCTCCCCCAAAAAAACAATGTTAACTTGCCTTTTTGCTATTGTACTCACCCAGGGATATCTATCATGTCACAACCAGGAATGATAATTGAATGAAGAATTGGTTTTTATTGCATCTAATAAAAAGCAGCTCTTATTTTTTTTTTTTACAAATTGCCCATAATTACAATTGTCTGGAGAGTGTCTTATCATCCTGAGTGGGACAGAAATAAGCTAGATGCACAATAGTACTTCCCCTTGTATGATTTAAACTTTGCATTCTCATTAATGGGGATGTAAATTAGCATTACAGCAAATTTGGTTCATATCACTTTACTGGACAGATACTAACTCCACTGGATAACAGTCTTTTAGTAGACATGTAATTTATTTCCATCCTGCTTCAGTTCAGAGGAGCATGTGTAGTGGAGCTGATGAGAGAGAGAGAGAGAGAGAGAGAGAGAGAGAGAGAGAGAGAGAGAGAGAGAGAGAGAGAGAGAAGAATGGGGATACTGAGAACTTTACAGGATCAACGTTCAGTTCATAAAATGTTATATAGCTGTCACAGTCTCTTAAAGCAGCCTCATAGATAAGTGAAATGTTTACTAGCCTTGTTTGGGGGGTTATTTATTTTTATAATCATGTCCTCTGCCCCTCTTTCATATCCCATCCCTCCCAAAAAGCAGAGGTAAATGAAATTAATTATTTCTCTTTTCTCCTGAAATGTGAGATATAATGTGGCACAATGAATAGAGAACCAACTTCAAATCTAGGGAAACCTTGGTTCAAGAGTCATGTCTAGCACTGACCAGCTGTATAACTCAGGGCTAGTCCTTTAACCTCTTGGTATTCTAGGCAACTCCCTAAACTGCAGAGAAAGGGATAATCTGTGTTGATAGATTTTCAGATACCAATGAAATCACAGGTCCAGTGTAGTCCCCTTCCCTACAGGCAATAGTATCAAAATGGGTATAGCTCCAGGCTTGGTGTCAGGAAGTGTAGAGTTCAAATCCTACCTCTAACTTGACTTGTATGATCTTGGGCAAGTTGTTAAGCCTCAACCAACTTTCTAGAACCTATCCACTAAGCCAGAAAGTTCTACACTTATCCTTCCCATAGTTCCCTGAAAACCCAAGGGAAAGACACTCTTGAGGCCTAGTCCCACTTTCTTTCCCAACCATCAGCACAGCCACCAACTCCATCCTTTTCTATAGTTCCTGAAATATGGCTGGTGCTAAGTAAATAACCTTATGTTGAGGGGTTAAGAATGAGAAGATTACAAAATATAAAGCTAGAAAGGTCCGTAAAACACGTCCAATCCAACCCACTCATTTTATAGGAGAGGAAGCTGAGATCCAGAGAGGATACATGACTTGCTCAAAGTCAGATAGTTAATAAGTGTCAAAGGTGAGATTCGAGCCTAGGTTATCTGAGTCAAAATTAAATGCTCTCTCTAATTCTATGGCTAGGGTTTATAGAAATGCTATGCTAGCAGAAGAACTAGATTTCTGATTGGCTCCAGTGCCCAACGTCAACAAGTAGCCAGGCTGAATCTTGAACCCAGGTCTTCTTCCTTCACATCCAATTCCACCTTTACAATAGCGCAACATTCTTCAAATTTTAGAGAGATTCTTATGTAATTGTATTCAAAGCAATTTTTGCATACTATTCTTTCAAATGTGATCAATGAAGGCAAATTTGCAGGTATCTCCCCAACCCCAACTTCCCAACAGACACCTAGAATCTTTCTGGATATTTGCTTTGATGATGAATTCTCTGTGATTTAATTTATGGCTCCTGCCACTTGTAGTGTATAAAACTTGTGACTGTAACACGTGACAATAATTCTGCACATCTACTTCAGATAAAAAGGCTTATTGCAGGTATTATTTTGGTGGGAAATATTGTTATAATAGAACCCTCATGGCACAGTGGTTAGAATAGTAAGGCTTACAGCCAGGAAGACCTGAATCCAAATTCATCCTCTGGCATCCATTAGCCAAATGACCCTATACAAATCATTTAACATCTATATACTTAAAGTCTCTAGAATTTATCTACTAAATCAGAAATGGGTTTTAACCTAACATACTAGGTATTTAATTGATGTTTGCCGATTAACTGAATGATAATTGGTATTGGTATTAGGAGTTTCCATGCTGATGAAATCACACATCCTTTGTGTGATTTATTGTTATAACCATTTATTATCATTTACTTATTTATTTATCATTGTTATAACCATTTATTATTAACCATTTATTGTTGTAGCCATTTTCCAATGGTAGAAATGAGCTATCAAGAGATTGCCTGACAGGACAGACCTGGGCTTTTCAGGAGTTTTTTCCTGGTTCCTAGTCTCCTATATTCTCTGCTTACTAAGCCCTGCTCTATTTTATTAACACTCATTAGGCCTTTCTAAGGAAGCACCAAATTTTGAAGATGATGATAAAGTGTTCTGAGACATTTAAATGAAATAAAATTCTGTAGGCATAAATTAGGAATAAATCAAGATTATATATATATATATATATATATATATGTATATATATATATATACATATATATATATGTATATATATATATACATATATATGTACATATATACATACATACACATATATACATATGTATAAAATAGGAAAAGTGTTAGGCTTGGTGTAAGGAGAAATCTGGGTTCAAATCCTACTCCTCTACTTCAAAAAGATAAAAAGAAAATAGAAAAAACCCTTATTTAAAAAAATATTTATAGTAGCTTTTTTTGTAGTAGCAAGTATTAGAAATGGAAGGAGTGGCCATTAATTAGGCAATGACTAAGCAAATTATGGTGTCTGAATGGAATCAAATACCATTTAACTAGAAGATGTTACTAGTTAGAGAGTTTCAAAGAAACCTAGGAAGACCCATATGAACTGATGAAAAATAGAGTGAGCAGAACCAGAACAATGTATATAATAATAACAACACTGTAAAGATAAACAACTTTTAAATATTTAAAAAACTCTGATTAACATGATGACCAACTATGATTCCAGAGAACTGAGAGGTGATAGACTCAAAATACAGAATAAAACATGTATTTTCAGATAGCTCCAATATGAGAATTCGTGTTGTCTAACAATGTATATTTATTACAAGGGATGAATTTTTTTTTTCACCTTTTGTCAATGGGGTAATAATGGAGGGGGGAATCAGAGAGCAGAAATAGAAACAAGTTAGCAAAAAGGGGGGGGGAAATGAGGTCATTGAGGCATATTATTTTTTTTTTAATTCAGAGAAGAGATCAGAAAGAAATCCAGAGAGAAGCACAGACAAACCAAACAGCTTTGAAAGCCACATGTTGAGCTTATATACTTAAAAAGAAAATCAAGCAATACATAATAGGGATCTGCAAGTTTAATGCAATCTTCTTTTTCTGTTCTATTATGTGTTTAGAAATTGCCATTTTATTTGTGTGTTAAGATCAGAATAAAAATACATTTAAAAATACAAATCTTATTTCATTACCTTGTGACACTAACTTAACCTCTCTGAGTGTCAGTGAGATCATACATAAGATACAGATAATAATCCCTGCAGTACTTACCTCATTGTTGGTTGTAAGGATCAAATTAAATAGGTAAAGGGCTTTGAGAACTTCACTGTATTCTACACCTATCAGTCATTATTCTTCAGCACTACCAAAAAAAGTTTGAACTGTTCTAAATTCATTCAAACCCCAGAGATGTGGACAATGTAATTAGGAAAGCCAAAGTCTTTTAGATGGTGAGTGGTCTTGCCTTTGCACTCCACATCTCCTCTTTCTACTAGATTTCGAGAACGTATGGGTGTAGAAGCCTCCGCTCAGTAAGAAAGTCCAATTGCTTTTACAATAAAACTGCTTAGTCACACATATGGAAAGTATTTAACATCATTTGTTGCAGTGATTTAATTAAACTTTAAGCACCACATCTGTTTGAAAACATATCAAGGAGACAGAGATGCTCATTGTGTGGGAGTTGACTGACAGGGAAGAACAGATTGACTTGGCATGTTAGTGGAACTCATTAATCTTCTTCAAGTACATACCATGGAAACATGGAGTTCTCTCCACAAGCTGTTACCCAAACAGCACTTTTGCTCACAGATTTGGAAACCTAATTGTGCACATGGAAAACATAAGTTTAAACTGGGGGCAGAGGGGGAAGATGTATTTTTTTCATAATAAAAGTTTCTTGTAATTGCATGCAAGATGCAACATTGAAAATGGTGCACCAAATCCTGTGAATCAATGTGCAATGGCAGGTTGCTGTTCAAGCCTGGAGTCCTCACATTTGGAGAAGTCTTGGGGATCACTTCTCGTAGTGAACTTGATATGTTGTATACATGCTATAAGCATAGGCATTCAAGGAATATGGGCTTGGTATGACAGACAGTGCACTCAGGGGAGAGCATTGGCATTGATCCTTCATCTTCCCCTAAGAGAACCTTGAAGTATCAGTCCTTTTTGACTTATCTCTCTCCCTTGATTAATGGCAAATTACTGAGGCAATAATCAAATGCTGCCCAGGTAAATTTGAAAGAGGAAATACCCAATCCAGTCTGTCCAGCTACCATCTGTAAGGTTTGCTTACCACATACTTCTGTGATCAAATGATGAGAATTTTTTTTCCTATAGAGTGTTTGTTGTTGTTCAGTTGTTTTAGTCAGGTCCAACTCTTTATGACAACACTTGGGGTTTTCTTGCCAAAGATACTGGAGTGGCTTGCCATTTCCTTCTCCAGCTCATTTTACAGATGAGGAAATTGAGGCAAACAGGGTTAAGTGACTTGCCCAGGGTCACACAGCTAGTAAGGGTCTGAGGTCAGATTTGAACTTTGGAAGATGAATCTTCTTGACTCCAGGCCCAGGACTCTATCCACTCTACCACCTAACTGCCCCAAATATTCCCCTTGAGTGTTTGTATATACACCCTAAAGAGAAGGAGAAAGACCAGTGGTAATGTGGCCAGAGGGTCTGCAGGTCATACCTACTCAGCCCATGTTCTCTATGCCCATGATCACAATACCCATAGAATTAAAATATATATATATATATATATATATATATATATATATATATATATATATATATGCTTATAACCTGGAGAGGGATATTTAGAGCAAATTCAGAGAAAGATTAGTAGCCAAAAACACTCAAGGGAGACAAGACAGTGATTAAGCTCACATTTACTTCCTTTTTTTTTTAAGGAAGCATAATAGAAGGAAATAGGATAGAGACCACACACACACACACACACACACACACACACACACACACACACACCAGAAAAAAAATTGGCAGGAGTAACAGGCTGATGGGAATTTTCATGTTTCTAAAATCTCTGGCTTTGTTCTTTATCTGAATGCTGTCTCTGCAAATTTAAATCAATCTTATTTCAGAATGCTGGGTTTATAACTGAGAAGAAAAAGTGCAGATGGCTAAATTATACTCACTTGTTCAACACCATGATCACTTTCTGTAATGTGGTTTTAAACACCTGAAATTAATTAGAGAGGCTATTTTAACGTACAGAGCATGATTTATAGTATAAGCTTAAATACATATATATGAGTTTTATTTCAAAGTGCCACGTATTTCAAACATGCACATTCTACAATCAGCTTTTCTTTTTATCTTTTAATGAGGAGTCCTAATTTTAAAGGAAAATAAATAGCCAATATTCAACAAAAGCTTACAAATATGAGAAGAAACTCAGCAAAACATTTTTTTTCATTCAAAACACATTTCTTGACCACCAAAAGTATACTAGCTATTGTGGCATGGTAGAATCCCAGATTGTCTATAAGGGGATATAACACAAATAATTTTAATACTAAGTGGCATGAAATAATTCCACAAGAGGTAAAAACCAAAATGCTAAAATAGTTCTGAGAAGGGAAAGATCACTTCTGAGTGGTGGAAGTCATGTGAGATCTGAGGTTTGAAGAGAGTTAGGATTTTCATATTCAGAAATATGGAGAAAATGCATTTCTGGCAAAGTAAATAGTGTGAAGAAAAACCATGGAAGTGTGAAAAAAGCAAAGTTCAGGATCTGCAAATTGTCCAGTTTTTGTTAAGTTCATGTTGTTTATGGGGGAAAAGTATTAGAAAAGTCTAAAATGGTAGGTTGGGGCCAAGTCAGAAAAGGCCTTCAATCACAAAGTTAGGAATATGGATATTATTTGATAAGCAATTAGGAAGCACTGAGAATTTTCAAGCAGAGGGGGGATATGATCAGAATTATGTATTGGGAAGATGGGAAGGATATCAGCATATAGGATAGATTTCAGAATGGGAGACTAAAAATGGGGAGACTAATTAGGAGGTGATTTTATTATCCCATGTGAGGGGGTAAGAGGTTCTGAAATGGCATGGTAATGATAAGGACGGAAAAGAGACACATGAAAGAAACTGCATAGAAAGAATCTGTTTGATTTGATCACTGATATATCTGAGGGGAGTCAAGTGAGAAGAAGAATAAAAAAAGACTAAAATTTTAAGCTTGAATAATTGAGCAAATGCTAATATTATTAGTGGAAATGGGGAAATAAGAGAAACTATAAGAGAAAAGAAATATATATATATATATGTATGTATTTATATATATACATACTTATATGTGTGTATATATATGTATGTCCACATATATATACATGCATACATATTCACATGTGTATATACATATGTGTGTGCACATGTATACCTATATAATGGAAATACCTTATATGTACTCCCTATATATGTATATACAGACAAAACATAATTTTGCATATAGTTCATAATTACATGCCTAAGACACATAGTACGTGTTTGTAATATGTATATTCATTTATGTATATTATAATGAATTTTGGATTAATTGAGTATGATGATGTACTAGAAGAGCATCTCAGACAGAAACATTCAGCAGATAGCTGGAATGTGATGGTGATGCTTAAGGAAAAAAAGGTCAAGTCGAGAGAGAGAGATTTGTAAGCTGCCCTAATTGCTGATATTTAAAACCGTGAGATGACCAAAAAGAGAAAGTAGAGAGGAAGAAAAGGGCTGAGAACCAATTCAGAGAATTTCCACCTTGGAGCGTCAAGAAGTTAGAAGATGAGCTTCTTAAATATAGGGATATTTTTTCCATTCTTTGGATTTGCATCCACAGTGCATCTTCTCTACATCTATCTAGCAACATATGAAGCCAAATGAGATGATTAAGGCCAGAGGTTCTTAACCATTTCTTCATCATGGACCCCTTTGGCCGTCTGGTAAAGGCTATGTTAGAATGAATACACTATTCTGCATATTGAAATATAGAATATGACATGCATAGGATTACAAATAAAACAAAATATACTGAAATACAGTTTTCAATTTAAAAAAGTAAAATAAGTTTATGGGCTTCACGTTAAGATTTCCTCCCCTACAGCCCTTGGAAGTGCTCTGGGTCACAGGGCTCACTCTTTTATTTCCACCTAACTACTTCTTATCTGTCACTCTCCCCTTATGCCCATCCCATTCCTGCTGTCCATATCACTGTTCTAATAAGTGCTTAAGGAAGACTTGTTGATTGATCGAAGAGGAGGAGTAAGACCTAATGAAGAAGTCAAAGAAATGATCAAGATTTAAGAAGTGGATGACAAAAGTGCTATGTTACAAAAATCAAAGTAAAAGAGAGTTTCAAGAAAGAAAAGATAGGGCTGGTGTTCAACATGTCAAATGTTACAGAAAAAGACTGAGGAAAAGTCGTCAAATTTATCCATAATAAGAGCTGACATTAATGTGACAGTATCAGGTTTACAAATACCTGATTTTTACCACTTGGACCTTACCACAAGCAAGTGCTATTATTATTATTCTATTCTGTATATTAGGAAACTGAGACTGAGAGAGGTTAAATGACTTACCCAGGGTCACATAGCTAATATCTGAGGCAGGATTTGAACTCAGGTCTTCCTTGACTACAAATCCAATGTCCTATCCATTACATCACAGTTTCATTGGTCTAGAGTGATCAGAAGCTAGATTGGAAGTGAAAACAGCAAGTATGCACTATGCTGGGCAAGTCACTTAACCTCTGCATCAGTTTCCTCATTTGTAAAATGGGGATAATAATAGCATCTACCTTCCAATGCTGTTGTGAGGATCAAATGAGATAATAATTCTAAAGCATTTAGTATAGTGTGTAAATGTTAGTTACTACTACTACTACTACTACTACTACTACTACTACTACTACTACTACTACTACTACTACTACAACTCTTACAAGGATTTGGAGGTAAAAGTAAAGTGCAAATTAGGATTATAGATTAAAGGATTCTAGGAAGGCCTCTTTTTTTGTAATCCTTTATTTGTGAACATAGGGGAAGTAGAAAGGGCTTGTACATTATACAGAAAAGGAACATCTGAAGGAAGTGTCCAAATGAAGGTGAAAAGAGACAAATATCTGAGGGATTAAAAAAAAAAGATGGGTGAAGATAGAGTGTAGCTTTTAAATGGAGCTGCCTTCTTTTTCTGACTCGTATAAAGAGGTGTTCATCTTTTGTTTCAAGTCTATCTGGAAGGCTCACATCGTCAGCCACTCCAAGGTGGTCTAAAAGAATTAATGAACTTCCAAAAAGTGAGCCATTTAAATCTTTGTTATTGGTAGGATTAAGCTCACTGTAAAGAGAGCTGGAAATATCTCTTTAGGAGATCCTTAAAAATGTTTTTGTGCCTTGTTATGTGTCCCTGAGGCTGGGTCTCTACATGAAGATGGGAACAGAAGCAGTCAAATAAAACACAACTCCTTTGTAAGACTAGAGTTAAAGAGTAGAATGTGGGGGAGTTACAGTTTGCTATGTTATATGCCCCAAACCAACCGTGTTATAATAGGGTTCTACTATAATTTGCCTAAAAGCAGCCACTTTTCCCCTCATTCTAGGTATTTCTGGTAAAGCTTTGAGTTTTGTTGGAGTGATTTATCCAGATACTCATGTATTTTAAATGTATTTACGTATGTATTTCCCAGTGATTTTGAGAGGAAAATCAAGAAAATGTTTTCCTCTCATAATTTCTCTCTACACTATTTTTTTCTTTGAAAAAGCCTCCACAGTGCCAGCAGATGCTTCTCTAAGTGAAAAGTGCTTTCCTATTGCCAGGGCAGACAAAGAGTGCTGATTGCTACTGGCTGCAGTGCGGAGAGAGTGAGTCAGCCCTCACTCCTCTATCTCCATCCAGCTGCTTCTCACCTGCCCTTCTCCCCTCGCTTATGCCTCTTTCCTACCTTCCCTGGACAGGGTCAGTCCCAGTGACCCAGGGCCATGGGAGCTGCCTGGTCCTTGCCTCATTTTACCCTAGATGCATAAGCCACAAACCTAAAGCTTGAAAGGAAATTCTAAATAGTCTATCTTTCAATCATCTCCATCTCCCGACAGCACAGCTTCACATAAAACAATGTCTCATTGTAAGCATGGAAGAATTGCTGAACAGAAAAGAAAAAAAAGAGAGAGATTATAATTAACTTTACCACTGATTTCTATGCAACTCTAGGTGAATCACTGTTCTTAAGTAAATTGAGGTTAGAATCTCAAAGAGCACTGAAGCTTCCCCAAGGTATTAGGAACCAAATAATCGTGTCATTTTCCCCCAGCTTTTCTATCTTCCATCTCATTTGAGTGAAATATCTAGGAAAAAAGAACAGAAGTTATTCAAGAAAAAATGGCAAATTCCTGAGGCAATAACCAAATGGGAGATACCTTTGAAAGATGTAATGCCCACCCAGGCTGTCCAGCTAGCACCTGGGGAGTTTGTCCATCCAGTCAATTCGATTTACCATCTCTTTTATCGTCGTGGATTAGAAGGTAGATGGGAGGCAGGTGTTTTATCCCCATTTCACTGCTGGTGAAAGAGAGACACAGAAAGGTAAATGGTCTGGGCTACAGGCACGTAGCAAGTGACTGTTGGAGCTGAAGAGAAAACTCCTTGATCCTGACTCCTAGAAGATTATTTTCATTCCTAAACTGTGCCAGAGCTTTCATTGCTGAGAACTGCAAACACCTCCCACTCAGAAATTGCACTATCAGGCATTAGAAGCATGTGCAAAGTCCAGCATTGGGAAAAGACTCAGGCACAATAAAGTACGTTGGAAATAGCACAGCAAATGCATGTGTTCTCTTATAGGTGCTTTCAAGGCAAACGACTTGACTACTTGAAATACAGAAGAAGAAATAAACCATAGTAGCCATTCTTCTTTTTAATGGCCAATTATTTTCCTATCAGCATACAAAGAAAGGTCAGAGTGGACCATTCAACAGACGGAGACAGGAAAAGAGAGGCAGAGATGAGGGAGAGAGGGAGAAAGACAGAGAGACAGAGACAGACCGACAAAAGAGACAGTCTGAGAGAGACAGATAGATAGACAGAAAGAGAATGGAAAATTTTGGAGCCATCAGCTTCCTGGGAGGCAGCATGGTATAGTAGACTCTGGAGTCAAAGTAACCAAGTTCAAACCCCACCTTAGATGCTCACTACCTGGATGACTTTAGGCAAGTCTTCAGGTTTCCTTCTCTGTAAATCAAAGGTATTGACTAGGTGGCCCTAAGAACCCTTCAGTCCCTTCCAGTTCTAAATCTGTTATTTCCTCTCCTCTGATGCTTTGGTCCCAATTTTAAACAATCTGGTTCACAGGCTTAGAATTGGAAGGCACTTTAGAAGTCAGGGATTGTAGCCGCAATCCCCTTCTTTTATAAATGAAGAAATAGAGGTAGTGAGAGGTTAAGTGACTTGCCCAATGTCACACAGGGTTCAAATTTGAACTCAGGTCTGAATGCAGCATTCTTTCCACTGTACTGTGCTGCTATCCACTAGTTTTTTGTTCGTTTATTTGTTTGTTTGTTTGTTTTTACCTCTGTACCCCGTTGAGCTGCCTAGAGGCATCTAAGCTGCTCAGTGGATAGTGTTAGGCCTGGAGTCAAGAAGACCTAAGTTCAAATCTAGACTCAGACTTCGCTAGCCGTGTGACCCTGGGCAAGTCACTTAACCTCTGCTTTATTCCCCTGGAAAAAGAAATGGCAACTCATCCCAGTGCCTTTGCAAAGAAAACCCCCTACAAGACCACAAAGAGTCAGATGGGACTGAACAATAACAATACCACTCTGTTGTGCCCCTTGCTGGGGCTAAACCTCTTGTGTGAACATTGACAGGAGAGAGGCCTTGGCAGTGAAGATTTAATCCTAGAAGCTATGGATCATCATTCTGATTTGTTCCAATGCATTTGTGAAGTAAGAATAGTTGTCAGTTCAGGATAATCTGTCTATCCCCAAATTTCTCACCCAAGAAAACTAGTTCAATGTAATATCAAACAAAGGCTTGAATGCTGTCAGCTTTTTAGTGCCTATATTACCCTTATCACCACCCCACAGTTCTGGGCTCCAGGCTCTTCAACTCAGATCCTCATAGAATCTTACTGTCTTTTTTTTTGTCTTTTTTTTTTTCCCTTTCAGCTTTATGCACAGCCCAACTCTAATCCTCCTATTGGCCTTTCTCTTGCAAGGCCTTTCAATTGAGCCTGTTATTCATTTATTTTTTAAGAGCCAAAAGCTTTTTTTTCCCCCTCAACTCCAAAAAAAGAGCAAATGGCTTGTGACCATGATTGGAAAATCTGCTATTACCACCCATTCTGCCCTAAGAGCAGGCAGAAATATCAGTGGGAGTTGGGGAAGATGATACTTTCACTCAGAATTGTCTGATGCGACATTGCACTGAATTCTTTTGCTACCTTCCTTAGTATCAGAAGTAAAACATCTGTACGAGTACATCTGAGTGTTTCCAGTAGACAAGCCAAGCTGGTCCAGCCCTAGCAGTAAATAAACCATGTGGCAGTTGACTCTTCTCTTTCCTGCCAGGAATATGTTTGCTGAGCTCACAGGCAACCAGAGCCTACCTGACAAAATGGATTGCCCCTTCCATCACATACCTTTCCTGGCTCTCATGTTAAATAGCAGTGCCCTTCCCAGGCCTAGAACTCAAGGACTGTATAGGATTGTAGATGGTAGCTTCAAGGGGCTTCAGAGGCCATTTAAGTCTGAGGTGAGGAAACTGAGGCCCAGAGAGGTTATGTAACTTGTCTAAGGTCACTCAGGTGATAAGCATTAGAGGAAGGATTTGATTTCAGGTTCCTGCTACAAAGCCAGGCCTCTTTGCACTGCACCATGTTGCAATATACCTTAGCATGTTCTTCACCCTATTCTCCTATCTCTTTCCACACACTATCAAAATTTACCTGTCTTGACCCACCATATTTCTGTTCCATACCTCATGGCCCCCTACTAAGCTAACTAATCTGATAAACTCATTCAAGCTAAGGAATGAATGCCTAATAATGGACTCAAAGATAACATTTGAATATTCACAAGAATAGTATTACAATTTTCACAAGGATACCATCTGAATTTTTAAGTTTTAAATGTCTTAACCCAGTGGAAAAAAAGGCCTGGATTTTTAGCACCAACAAGGCAATAGGGGAAAGATGTCTTATGACATCTTTCAGACACTCAGTCTTAACCCATCCATTGACCAATGTACAAGGCCCTATTATGTGCCAGGTTTTGTTCCAGACGCTTGGAATATAAAGACGTAAGTAAAGCAATTCCTCCACAAAGGAGCTATTTATGTAGCTAGGTATGTACAAGATAGCTACAGGAGAGGTTTTGGGGGGGATACCAGACTGACAGGTGATGACAATAGTTATGTAGAAGCATAGCCAAGGTGTAAAAGTTAAAACATCAATGATGACAGGATCTATTTAGTACAGGGTTTGTGTGGACACTTGCTCAGATAAAGTGAAGGTTGATGCTAAGGGTTCTAAGGTCAGACTAGGGTGTGGGACAGAACAAGGGAGGACAAACCCTTCTCTGCGGTGGACAAGAGAGGCAACAAGAGGCTTGGTCAGGGATCTAGCTTCTAACCATATAAACTGTTGAAGACTGTTCAGACAAGAGCAGGGTTGAGGTCGATAGCAATAACTAGGATCTATTCTCAGGAGGGTGATTTGTGTACCAACCGTACCATCCTAAGAAGAGCTACATTTTAAAGATAAACTTGAAGCCTTCTAGCCAGCTCAGTCCATAGAAGGGGTGAGGGAACAAGGTGGTTTTGTTTGTTTATTTGTTTTTTATTTATTTATTTTTGGAATAAGGTGCTTTGATGTAGTGTCTGTGACTTCTTCATCCTATGTGTAAGCATAGTAGGAAGAATATGGCACTCTAGGGCTTGGAAATGAAAGAAGATACGAGTGGCCCCTTGTATTTTGATCTAAGAAATTCTCCTAAGTTGCTCCTTCTGGGTCAAGCAGGTTTATGCAGAATAGATGAAGTAAAGAAATTTGCTTGTGTCAGAAACAGGAGGAGTAGGTGGAGGAAGAAGAAAGGAGGAAGGAAGAGCACAAGAAGCATTTATATAGAGCTTTAAGATTTTTCCAATCACTTTATCTTGATTCTCACAATAACCTTGTGAGGGGGAGTACTAAATATCCCCATTTTACAAACGAGGAAACTGGAAGTGAAAGAGGTTAATGGACTTACCCAGTCACACAGCTGATAAGTGTCTAGGGCCAGACGAGGAACTGAGGTCTTATGGACTCCAAGTTCAATACTGTATACACTATACCACCTAGCAGCACTTGTGTCAGAGTATTTAAGGGAGCCATGTTATCATATGGAAGGCTGCTAACTTATCTCTTGGAGCACACTGGGCTATGCCATAAAATGTATGATCAGAGGCAATGGATGTGGAGGTGAAACAACACTTTATTGAGAGTGAGTGCATATCCTAGGGAGACACCGGTTTAATCTGAGAGCAATAGTCTTTACATCACCTTGGTTCCGGGCCTGTGACATTCCAGAACCCCTATAAAGCATACATCAGAATTAGGGAAGTAAGCAATAATGAGAATTGTAGATAAATAATATATGCAGATTACCATTACTCTCCTGTCTTTACTCTGTGACCCAGACAAACTGCTTTCCTCTGCTCCTCAGTCATGATACTTCACCCCTCATTGCCATGCCTTTTCTTCAGCAGTCTCACATGCCTGGAATTCACTTCCTTCCTACTTCCATAGACTCCCTCTCTTCCTTTAAAATGCAGGTCAGGAACCATCTTCTGCGTGAAGTCTTTCCTGATCTCCCCAACGGCTAGGGTCCCAATTCCTGAATTGCCTTGCTTTTAACTGTTTTGGACTGATTTATATTTATTCATTTTATATTAATGCTGTATGTTTTTATATGTATGTGTTGTCTCCCCCTTTAGAATGTAGGCTGCTTGAGAGCATGAGCTATCTTTGGTCACTTTTTGTATCCCCAGTGCTCAGTACAGAGCCTGGTGCATAACTAGTGTTTAATAAATGCTTTTTTCGTTAAATTTAGAGCAGGGGCTGAATTTCGCCTTTCTTTTATTATCTCAGAACTTTGGCATATTAGTTGGTACTTAATAAATGCATATTACTGACTGACAAAGCACCAGGCACTATACTGAGCGCTAAAGACATAAATATGAATAAGCAAGACAATCCCTGACTTCGAGGAGTTTACATTTGTAATGGGGGAAACTAATATGTGAAGACATTATTTTAAAATATACAGGGGGTAGGATTGTAGAGTATTACGGTGGGTCTGTAATTGTCCTGCAAGTGGGAAGGAATTCCTGATGCTGGGCAAGAGAAAGTGGAAACTTACCTATCAGAGCTGGGGGACCCAGGGAAAGAGTCTAATGATTTTTTGGAGGTGGAAGGAGAGAAAATAGGATGATGGTCAGAGTGTGAGTGGCCTGCTGAGGAAATGGCTGGAAAGTGCATGGAAACCTGGTGCCCAGATACCCAACAAGATAAGGTGAAA